TTCACCTAAAAAAAAAAAACCTTTATATTCCAAAAATAACTATTTAAGAAAATAATCAAAGTGTGGTTTCTTTTTTACATCTTTTTAATTTATTGTTTTTGTAGGCAGGTGTTTGGCTTGCATGTGTATCTGTGTACTGTGTGTGTGCCTCATATCCACCTGGACAGAAGACAGTGTCAGCTCTCCTGGCACTAGAGATACTGATGGTTCTGAGTGTCCATGTGGGTGCCAGGAATGGAAGAGCAGCTAGTGTTCTTGGTCACTGAGATCACTCCAGCCCCTGTGATTTTGTGATTGTGATTTCCTTTTATTAACCCCTTTGGTTTTTCGAGACAAGCCTTGCCTGTCCTGGACTCACTTTGTAGACAAGACTGACCTCAAACTCACATTGATCCATCTACTTCTGCTTCCCAGAATGCTGTATGTGCCACCATGCCCAGCCACTATTTCTATTTTTCACCTACTCTGTTGGTGGTGAGGGATCCATCTAAGTTACCCAAACCAAAAAGCATATGCTCACACCAGTACTTTTACTTTTGAAGATCTTTGATTTCTTGGTGAGAAAACCCATCCTGAATGTAGATGGAACCATTCCATGGGCTGAGATTGGACACTAACCAGAAAAGAGAAACAAACAAACAATGAGACAAGATGCTGAGCCATAGCATTCATCTGTCTCTGTTTCCTGACTGGATACACTATGCAGCCCATGGCAAGTCATGCCTCTTAGAAAATATTTCTAAAGGTTGACCGGTATTACAATGGTAGTAGATAAATCCATCCCACAGTCTTTCCAGATTCTCGACTGCCACTTAAGCTCGCAGATTATTTATTTTCCAACATTAACCTTCTTCTAGGGTTCACTCTCTTATCTAATAATCCATTATTCCTCTTTAGATACTTTTTTTCAGATGTATCTTTCCAAAGTTATTTTTTTTTTTGGTAATTTTATTTATCAGCATTCACAGATAATGTGTGCATATATAAAACTTTGCAAGCACTATTTGTGATTCTTAGTCTCTACTATCAACTTGATGAGATTTGAAATTACCTAGGAAACACATCTTTGGGTGTGAGAGTCTTTCCAGAGAGATTTATAACAGGAGGGAACACCCTTCCTAAGCTTTGAAGGCACCATTTGCCTGGCTGAGTTCTGAAACTGAATAACCAGAACTGAAAGATTAAGCCCAGCACTGACGTTCCTCTAGCTCTGCACCCTGACTGTGGATACAATGCGACCTGCCATCTCCTGCTCCAACAGCTGTAATTCTCCAAGATAGTGAACCACACCCTCAAACTGTGAGCCTACATCAACCCTCATTTCCTTCCTTAGGTTGCTTTTGTCACAGCAATAGAAAAAGTAACGAATATATAAAGTTATATGGTTACACTTGGACTGTTTAGGTGTAAGGGTAGTTTACCATTTATATAAGTAGAAGATGGAATTGAGACAAAAATTTTAGACAGAAGGTAGCATAAAGGTAACATATGCATTAAATAAATAACATTCCTTGTTATTGCTTATTTTTCATGATGTGTAATGAAATTGTTCTAAGGTCTCTAGGTTAATAAGTTATTTAATTTTATGTTCATACTGAGGCAGAAGCTGTCATGATTATCTTACGAATATGAGCATTAGAAACAGTCTCAGGATTATGGGTGATAAAATAAAAGTAACTAACTCACATTGCTTCCCCATACACAGCCTGAGTCAGGTGCTGTATCAAGATACATTTCATAATAAAATAATACATTGAAACAAACCTATGCAATCCAGTAGCTATAGTGATTGTCACCGTCATGCTGCAGAGGAGTGAGCAAAAGCAGGCAGATGATAAATGGCATGTGGCTGTAACCTCTAAGCATCAGGCCAGCATGAAAGGCACGAATCTGCTTTTCATGGGGTATTGTGGAGCTGGTGTTGGCATTCCTGTCCCAGGGACAGAGACTGTGCGCTGCCATTGCGCTCGGTTGTCATACGGACAAATGTATTTGGTTGAGTCATTGAAATTAGAGATTGCAAGTAACTTCAAAAAAATGGTCATCTTAGAAGAACTCTCTTTGCATTTATTTAAAAAATCCCCTCTAAAACATCAACATTTTTTTTTTGCAAGCTCTGTGGGATTACTCCTAACACAGGCTATCTGCCCTGGAAATGATGTATTCTGTCCTTTGGTGAAGTTATTAGAAATAATAGATGCATCTAAAATGCTTTGAGCCTGAGCTTTTGCTCTAAACGCACAAGACAGAAGTTTATTTTATTTTCTTCACTGGATCCCTTTAAGTACAAAAGGGATCCTTGATCTATTCCCTATATAACATTGCTCTAAGTTTCCTGGCAATCATAGGCTCTGTCCTTTTGTGCAAGTTAACTTACACATTGCTCTCTTCAAACATGAAGCATGAGGCATGTTTCAAATGTGTGCTGAGCATTCTGAGATGCAACAGGACTAAGACTTTCCATCTAATTCCTGGAAATGGTATAGGATGCTGGTGTAATGACTGTCCTGGGTTGTCAACTCGATGGGCTTTAGAATCACCTCACCTAGAAGACACGTCTGCAAATATCTGTGAGGGAACTTCTGAACATCAGGCAGCCCACAACTGCCTGTGATTTAGCTCCAGGGGCTCTGTTACCTCTTTGTGACTCTGCATACACACCTACACACAGAGATACACATATATACACAAAAATGAAAACACTGAAAATACCTCTTCTAAGAGGATAGATGCTGAAATCAGCTATTGGGCATTATTCTTCCAAGAAAATGTATTTGGGCATATTTCCCCCAACTTGCTGTCTCAGTTTCCATCTTGATCAAACATGAGTAACACATGTGTCTTCTTTGTTGAGTTACTAGAGGATTAAGTATAATCAAGGAGTTAGACAGAGACCGCCTGCTGTGTACGCCTGAAATCAGAAACTGTATATAACAGTAGCTAAAGATGGAAGGTTCACTACGTATGGACATTGATGTGGTAAAGAAGTGGTTTAATCTACATTCTCAAGGGACGTCCACTTAAAACTCGATTCCACATTTCTTGTGAATTGACCGACCTATGGTTGCATTTGACTCCAGAAAGCCATAAATCATGTCACGCCATGGGCTCCTAATTAGATACCAAGGGAAAACCCATGAACTGCTTCTGGGAAATGGAATCTTTTTCTATTCTGTTCCACCCCAGTTTAGATTATTCGGTCACATTGTTTGGACTCATGGTTGGGTTTCTAGAGAACTGATCTCTGTCTCCATGTACTACATGCATATGAGAAACTTTCCGTGACCATAATCAACAAGGTCAGTGATCAAGTGGCTCGGCCAGAGGCTGAGCCTGTAGCAATCAGTTGGAGTACTCCATTTGGGAAGTCATTGGCTCAGTCAGAAATCCACCTAACCATATTCACTCTTAATTTTGTTAATAAGATACCATGGGAGATATTTGAGGGAGGCTTATCTAGATCCAAATGTCTATTATTGATTTATAGCATTACCTGCCTGGCAATCTCAGGTCTTTTTTTTTTTTTTAAATAAAGACAAAATAAGCTTATTTGAGAGCAAGTTATTCTCAGATACCCGCATGACTTTGGTAATTACTGCCTTCTCTGAGGGCTCTCAGAAACCTTCTGAAGACTCACTTATATAATCTAAGTAGGTGTGAATGGTAGCTTGCCTTCTGTACTTTGAAATCCACCTTTGCTTCCTTTTGAAAGTGGAGAATTTTTCTTTTAATTTGTCACCAACCCCTTCACCATATCACCGCTGAGGCAGAAAATAACAGATGAGAAAGTTCCTTCACAAATTCTGTGTCTTGAGCTTTGATTTCTCAAGGTCCTCACACTTGAAGCATCTACCAACACCCCTTGAATTCACCTCATCTGCTTTGCTTATCATCACACTTCCTGAGGCCTATGTAGCCATGTCTAGTCAAAGCTCCCACTTGGGAAAAGATGGAAACAGAATTTGTTGTTAAATTGTGTGATCTAACAGTTGTTTCTCTAGTATCTGTGCACTATTTTCACATCTACCTTTTTTTGATTGTTCTCCTAGGTCTGTGATATTTGGGAGTTTCTTTAAACACAGAGCCTTCTTTTGTGCATCCAATCAAAATTTTCTATAAATATATACTGAATATCTATCATTTCTAGATACTGTTCTAGGGACTAAGGATACAATAGTTAAGGAGGAACACACACACACACACACACACACACAGAGCCCACATCCTTTGCCTTGTAGTCTATGCTCTGCTCTAAGTATTTGTTTAATGAAATTATCACTGAATGTCCCCCGCTTACAGGTAGTTTTCTTTTATTATGCTGAGCTTTGGGTAGATGAGCTTGCCCTTTTGAGTTGTCTCTTTAAGTTTTGTTTTTTAATTTTGTATACATAAATGTTTCCCTGTGTTAATGCAAGTGCCTGGTAGTAGAGGTCAAAAGAGACCGCCAGATCCCTGTGCACTGGAAGCTGCCCCTTGGGTTACAAACCAAAACCAGCTCCTCTGCAATAGCAACAAGGGACCCGAACCACTAAGCCATCCATCCAGCCTTTTGGATTGTCTTTTCAACAGAGTCTAGGAGCCTTGGTGCTGTCATCAGCTTTTGTGGAAGATCATTGAATTGGGGAGTCTGAATTTTTACGTTTATATCTAACTGTTTCTCATAGCAGTTCTCTCCAGTAGTGTTCCTAAGGTGTTAGCAAATTAGAGAAAAATATGGGGTCAATATAAGCCTATTATGATTTATTATCATCATTTGTTTTTAGAGAAAAGATCAAATGTAGACCAGGTTGGCCTCAAACTTGCTATGCAGCCCACAACCAAATCTTTGTATGCTTCCATTACTCTGTGTGGTCAATTTTTCATGAATTTATTATAACACAAGATATTTTGCCAACTCCCAAAAGCTTTATTTGGTCCATAACAAGCTGATTTAGCTGTTCTCTCTTCTCTGCATGTGGTCATGTGTTTTAATGCTAATTTAAGATGCTATTGTCTTCTAGAAATAACCCTGCCCTGGTCTCTGGCATCCTCGTGGTCTGGACATGGAGTATGCTGCAATTTCCTCTCGACTTGGCAGGTAAATGTTTTTATATTTGTGTAAAGAAACAAAATTATGACTCTTAAATATAAATCATACTAGGACAAAGGAGGTAGTTGATTGGACCTAAGTTTTGATATCCTAGTATTAGCTCTACTCCAACCTAGAAAGAAGGTGGTTTGAAACACAGGAAAATCAAGTGTGGACCCATTTTGGTGTGTGGTGAACTTAAGTACATGAAAGGCACAAGGAGCCCATCTCTGGTTACATAACAAGTTTGAGGTCAGCCTGGTCTATGTCAGGATCTGCTTCCAAAAAGCGTCCCCAAAATTAATAGCAATAAGGACTATAGAAGTTAACTATGCTGCTTTCTACTCAACTGAGTTAATACGTCTGTTACTTCTCATCTGTAATCCTGCCAAAATCAGCTGAGATATAGGTGCCGCGATTTTTCATCTATGAAATGGGATGACACTCACAGTAGTTAATTGGTGAGTGCCTGGTGACCTGCCAGTCTGTAGTCTCCATATCTTCTGCCAGGGACATGGTGAGACCCACATATAAGGTGAGAGGAGCAGGTTCCCTTAATGGCAGCTCTAACCTTAATGAATGCGTAAATCTTCAAGGGTTGGCAAGAAGAAAACTGTTTGGCTGGCGTTCCATACTAGTGATTTCCTACAGCTGTATTGTCCTGCAGAATGGTGCCTACCAGGCACTCACAGTGGATGCATTTATGTTAAGTAAAACCAAGGAAGCAACTCCTCAGTGACACTGGCCATATTTTACTCACTCCTTTGGCACATGTGGCTCCCGTGTTGGACAGCAAAGATATGAAACCATCTCACTATCATATAGAGTCTTAGTGAGTGCTGTCAGCTTAGAATCACGCTGTAACGTCTGGCTTGCTGGAAATGTGACTTAAGAATTTGAGAAGGCCCAGAGCTCTCTCATTCTCTTTCTTTGTCTACTTTATTCTTTATGACACTCTTCCTGCCGGCTTCAGGGCGAGAAGCCAGAATAAGTAATTCTGGGGCTCCACTGAGAACCTTCCAGGTTTTCAGCACACACTTTCAGATGAAAAGAGTTGTCCAGCTTTTTTCAAAGTAGAACAACAAGAAACAAACAGCAAAAAGCCAGGTTGGGTATATTGCAGTGTTCTCTTTCAATCCCAGAAGCCTGAAGACAGAGGCAGGCAGATCTCTGAGTCTGAGGCCAGCCTGCTCTACTTTGTAGGTTCCAGGCCAGCCACAGCTACATATTGAGATCCTTTCTCAAAAAGAAAATAAAAGAAAGAAAGAAAGAAAGAAAGAAAGAAAGAAAGAAAGAAAGAAA